AGCCAAGGTCAGGGAAAGACAAGTTACAAGGTTCTGCCAAACCCCAAAAGAGCAAGTGGTGTTTGCTCAGAGCATGTCCCCACAAGCACACACGCCCTATAGCAAAAACCTCTCCAAAAAAAAATAATTATTATTGGGACCAGCAGATGGCATAATGGTTACATTGCTGGACTCCCTTGTAGTCAATGCAGTTTGATTCCTAAACTCGGTGGCTTAAAACTCATGCCAGGTGTGTGTACATGCATGTCCAAGATCCCAAGAGGAGAATGGATTGCAGTGTGGCCAGCCCCCCTGGGGGAGGTGATTTCTTGCTTTGTGTCTCTTTGTCTCTCTCTATCTCTCTGGTGAGTGCACAAGCCCTACAGCAAAAATATCTCAAAAAAAAACTGGGGGAGCAGCAGATGACAAAATGGTTACATTGCTGGACTCCCACATAGTCAACTGCAGTTTGAGTCCTGGACACAGTAACTTGAAACTCACACCAGGTACATATGTGTGCATGCCCAAAATCCCAAGAAGAGACTGAAGAAGAAGAGATTGTGGCATGGCCAACTCCCAGGGGGTGATTTCTTGTTTCCTGTCTCTCCAGCAAGTGCATGCACCCTAATGCAGAAATCTGTCTAAAATAAATAAATAAATAAACTCTATTACTACTAGAGTTTACTAAAAATGTTTTCACTCTCCTTTCATTTTGCACTGTGTATCCTCAACGAAACTGATACAAATATAACTAGGCATGTGTAAAGCGTTCAGTTTTAAATATTTCTAACTTAAAATGTATTTAAAATTTTACTCTAAAATTTACATGTTTATCTACAAGTTCATTGTGCCTTCATGATAATGTAGAGAGAGATAATTCATCCTTGTTTTTAACACTCACAAAAGATTTTACAATATGAAAGCACCAAAATTTACTCAGTCATCTTATTGATGAACACTGACATTCTTTCCAACATGAGCCACTTAAGGCAGTGCTGCAATAAATATTCTTACTCATATATTTTAATAGACCAGTGCTTTAATTTCTGTAAGAGATGCTTGCAAAAGTGGAAATTCTGGATGAAGCATCGACACAGTCAAATCTGGAACAGTGCTGCCAGGCTGCCATTACGAAGCCTAAGGTCCTCACCGTCCTCAGCAGCGTGTGAGGGAGCACGCCCGCTCCCCGAAGGCTCCTCGGCTCTGAGTGTTAACGGCTGCATTTGTCCTGACCGACAGCCTGGTGCGTGCAGGACCGGTTTGCCTGTTAGGACTGGTTTCCTAAGTCCTGGCAAGGTTTCTCCAGCTCGTTGGCCACTCATACCGTCTCCCCTGTAACTCCCCTGTTTGTGACTGCCTCCTCCCTCGCTCACATTAAATATCTTAGAAATACATGTGTGTCCCCACTTCGTATATACCGAGTGTCCGCACTCTGACTGCAACCGACCAAAGGATAGAAGCACAGTATACAGATGTAAATACCAGATACAGTGCGTGTGAAAGGAGGGTCTGAGGAAGGACATCTAGAAGGAAAATAGGGAGGCAAAGCATCAATGGCACAGAAATGTATGATCCGTTGAAGATATTTTGTAGTTTTATCAACTGTTCTAGGGAGAAATGTTCACCTGTTGAAATATCCATCTTGTCAACCAAATAATAATGTGATTGAATGTATAAAAGAAAATGAAATATAAAAAATTAAATTAAAAAAACATATATATATTAGGTTGGGTCCATGGTGTTGAGGTGCTAAAAAAAAAAAAAAAAAAAAAAAAAACAGGCCCCCTGGGGACCCGATGGGGGGGTAGCTGTTAGCGTAATGACTATGTCTCTGGACTCCCATGTAACCAACTGTGGTTCGAGTCCCAGACCCAGTGGCTTAAACTCACGCCAGGTGTGTGTGCATGTGTGCCCAAGATCCTGAGAGGAGAATGGAGGAGAAGGGATTGTGGCCATCCCCCCAGAGGGGTGATTTCTCACTTTCTGTCTCTCTGTCTCTCTCTGTCTTTCTGGTGAGCACATGCGCCCTATAGCGAAAACCTCTCCAAAAAAAGAAAAAGCTGGATCCCCCATGGTCAGCAGTCTGAATCCCAGACCCAGCGGCCTGAGAAACATGTTGGGCATATGTGTGTGTTTGTGTATGTGTGTGCCCAAAACCCCAAAGGGAGAACTGGAAAGGGATTACGGCATGACCATCTCCCATGGGGGGTGCTTCTCTCTCTCTCCCCGACTTTCTCAGTTGAGCTCACATGCCTTCTAGCCTCCCCCAAAGTGTGTGTGTGTGCATGTGTATGTGTGTATGTGTATGTATGTGTGTGCGCATGTGTGTGTGTGCGTATATATGTGTGTATATGTGCGTGTGTATGTGTGTGTGCATGTGTATGTGTGTATATGTGTGTGCGTGTGTATGTGTGTGCATATATATGTGTGTGTATGTGTGTGTGCATGTGTGTATGTGTGTGTGTATATACATGTTGAAAGCAGGGTAGGGCCACAGCCACTGGCTGGTCCCACATGGCCTACTACACGCCGCATTCCAGACCCGGCTGCCTGAGTCCCATGCTGGTTCCGTGTGTGCCCAAAATCCCCAAAGGAGGGGGAGATGGAGGAGGGACTGCGGCATGACCATGCCCTATGGGAGGTGCTGTCTCACCTCCCCTGTCTCTGCGTCTCTCTCTCCAGCGAGCACACGCAGTCTGGCAAATTGTGAAAAGGAGGAGGAGGAGCAGAGTTGACGGCGCCGGAAACCAGTTTGTTGGTTCCTCACGAAGTTAGCCAAGGAGCTACCCAGTGAGACAGCAGTCCCAGCCCTGAGCACATACCAGAGAGAATTAGAACCGTGTCCACACGGAAGTCGCACCCAGACCGGCACAGCCCCGCTGATTCACAATAGTGAAGAGGTGGGAGCAACCCAGACCGCAGTCAGCCGACGAACAGACGAAAATGGCCTACCCAAACAGGGAGGCATTACTCAGTCAGAAAGGGAAGCCCCGACGCTGGTCACAGTGTGCGTGAACCCGGAGAGCACGCTGACAGGGAGCCAGTCACAGAGGCCACACGGCGAGCGAGTCCTTCCCGTGAAGTGTCCAGACAGGAAGTGGAGTGGTGGCCTCTCGGGCTGGGGCGGCAGGGTGAGTCTGGTATTGATGCCTGATAACGTGGAAGGGTGTCAGAAATGTTCTGGAATTAGGTCGTGTCATGGTGGCATAGTTCTGTGAATATACTTTCAAAACCACTGAGTTGTACACATTTAAAGAGGGAAACTCATGGTATTTGAGTTATATCTGTCTCAAGCAGGTTACTGGTTACCTGACTCTCCCACCCCTGGTCACCCGCCGACCTCAGGACCAATGCACGGTTCTACGGAAAGCCGCCTGCACCTCCCTGTTGCGCAGGCAGTAGATGACGGGGTTGCACATGGGCGTGGCCACCGTGTAGATGACAGACAGCACCTTGTTGAGGTCCATGGATTCGATGCGACTGGGACGGGCATAGATGAAGAGAGCGGCCGAGTAGAAGATGCCCACCACTACCAGGTGGGAGGCGCAGGTGGAGAAAGCCTTGCGCCGGGCAGCGGCTGACGGCATGCGGAGCACCGCCCTACCGATGGCCACATAGGAGGCCATGGCCACAAGGAGGGAACCCCAGAGGATGACGATGGCGGAGATGAAGTCCACCAGCTCCGTCAGGGCCACGTGGGTGCAGGACAGGTTGAGCAGGGGGGAGACATCGCAGAAGAAGTGGTTGAGGACGTTGGGGCCACAGTAGGACAGGCTGGCAATGCATGCTGTTTTGATCACTGAGACCAGCAGCCCACCACGCCACGAGGACAAGGCCAAGCCCAGGCCGACCTGC